TTTGTATGTTAAATGAAAATATACATTACAAGTTTAGGGAAAACCTACAAGAGAACAATTTACTGTTTGTTTGTTTTATTTTTTGAGTTGAGTTCATGGCCACCCAGCATCAACCTACTGGGTTCCAGCAATCCTTCTGCCTCAGTCTTCCAAGTAGCCGGAACTACAGGTGTCTGTTACCATGTCCGGCTAATTTTTTTATTTATTGTAGAGACAAGGTCTCACCCTATTGCCCAGACTGGTCTCAAACCAGTGGCTCAGACAATCCACTCACCTCGGCCTCCCAAAGTGCTGGAATTACAGGATTGAGCCACTGCACCCGGTCACAATTTACTTTTTTCTATCTCATTATTAATTTCTACTTTATCTTATTTGGTGGATGGAGAATATGAATAGTTGACTATTATCAAAATATTTATACACACTAAATCATGTACTTTATTTCCAAAATTATGTAAAATTTAATAATAAATAAGTACCCTTAAGAAACTATTCTAAATTAATTATTCTATTAGCATATTTCATAAAAATTAACTATCAGCAACACAAATAATGATGATAACTATAGTAGTTCATATTTATTGAGAATAAAGCTATATGCCAGATAATCATCTCAAGTTTTAAAAAATATAATTTAATTAATCCCTTAATACGACTACTATGTATTTTGTTTTTTAAGAGACGAGGTCCTGTTATGTTGCCCGGGATGCAGTGCAGTGCAATGGCTATTCACAGGCATGATCATATTGTACTACAGCCTCAAACTCCTGGCCTCAAGGGATCCTCCTGCCTCACTCTCCCAAGTAACTGGAGTAGCTGTGACTACAAGTACATGCCACCAAGCTTGGCTTTCATGTAGGTTCTTGATTGCATTTTATAAATAAATGATGCCCATAGATGGTAAATATCTTGGCCAATGACACACAGAGTAAGGTGGTAGAATTGCAGTGATGACAGGTAAGACATGCACTATGGCTAAAAGCATTACTGCATACATGACATTAAAAAGTTTGTTTATTACCACCTAACTCCAGTCAGAATGGCAATTATCAACAACTCAAAAAATAACAGCTGCTGGAGAGGGTGTGGCGAAAAGGGAACACTTCTACACTGTTGGTGGGAGTGTAAACTAGTGCAACCTCTGTGGAAAGCAGTGTGGCGATTCCTAAAAGCTCTAAAAATTGACCTTCCATATGACCCTGTAATCCCCCTACTGGGAATATACCCTGAAGAACACAAATCACTCTATAAAAAAGATACTGCACACGTATGTTTATTGCAGCGTTGTTCACAATAGCAAGAACCTGGAAACAACCATGCTGCCCATCAAAAGAGGACTGGATTTAAAAAATGTGGTACATATACGTGATGGAATACTACGCAGTCATAAAAAAGAGCAAAATCATTAATTTCGCAGCAACCTGGATGGAACTAGAGTCTATAATACTGAGTGACCTCTCACAGAAACAAAGATCCGAATATCACATGTTCTCACTCATATAATGGACCTTGAACATCCAATGTAATACTATAAGAAAATGACTGACGGTACTGGGAAACTGTGGGGGGGAGGGGGATGGGATTAACAGTAGCAAATATCTGTCGGGGGATTGGAAAACACCTCATCAACAGGGCGCCTGAATGAAACGTAATTGTACACCTAACCCTTAACTGTACCCCACAAAACCATAATAAAAAATACTGATTGATTAAAAAAAAAAAGTTTGTTTATTAGTATTAAGTTTTGAGAGTTTAATAATGATTGAGTGGTTAGAAGGTGTAGTGATTTAAAAATAAAAATGTCCTCAAATGTTTTGACATTCTCTTTAAAAGGTGAAGCCGAATTCCTCTCCTACTGAATATGGGCTAGACTGCTAGTAAACAGAATGTGGCAGAAGTAACTTCCAAAACAAGATTATAAAAAGGATCACATCTGAGCAATGTCAACTGGTATGTTACAAGCACACTCAAGCAGCACATGGAGGGGCCCTGCTGGAGAGAAAACAACTTGCCAGTATAAACTGACTAGGCATATCACTAAGCCATTTTTGACCACACATTCTCCAGCTCTCCTTGAGACACCTACACCTAGAACCACCAGCTTAGCTGCTCCCAAATTCCTGACTCACAGAAACTGAGAAAAATATATATTTATTGGCATTTTAAGCTATTAATTTTGGGGGCACTTTGCAGCATGAGATAACTAACAGATTTTGGCACCTAGACAAGGGATGTCATGGAAACAAAAAGCAAAAATATCAGAGGGCACTGGGAGCACAAAGTAGGAGGAAACTGGAAGGGCCTTGAAAATACTGTTAGCAGAGACCTGGACATCTTTGGAGGGTTCTAGTGAGGGCTTAAACAAAATAAAAATATGTTGCTCGACACTAAGGGAAAAGGGATTCTTGCTATGTGGTAGCAGAAAGTTTAACAACATCTTTGCATGTGATAGATAATGTGAAAAGTAGAAAGTAATACCTAAAGAACTGGGTTAATTATTTTAAATTTTATTTTAAAGATGTGGGGTACAATTCTGGATTAGGTATACAAGTGGTCATTGTACTGGTAAAGTTTGGGCCTTCCTTTGGTCCCCACTTTGCCTGGTTTGAGATCAGGTACCTTATTGATGTTAATGTGCCTCACTCCCCTCCTGGCAGTTTCTGGCTATTGCCAATACCTTTCTTATAGTATTATGGTATGTTCTGGGTCTGCTTATGAGTGAGAGCATGTGGTATTCAGTTCTTTGTTTCTGTGATAGATCACTGAGTATTATAGACTCTAAATCCATCCAAGTTGCTGCAAAGTCCATCATTTTGAAGAACTGGGTAATTTAATTAAGAAGACTTCCAAGCAGAAGGTTGAAGATGTCTCCTAGCTTCTTGCTGCTTAAAGTGCAAAAAGTGAGATAAGCGAGAGTACAACTATTAAACAAATGTGAACCAGGACCTGGTTTTGAAAATTCCCAGTCTCCCCAGAAAGCAAATGACACTAAACTTTGGAAATGGCCTCTGGACAAAGATCAAATCCAGGACACTGTTAGGAAACAGTCTATAGGTAAGTTGAGTCAATAGGTAAGCAGAGTAAGTGTTCACCTTGGTCCTCTGAAAAACAAAAAAACAAGAGAGGATTCAATGCACAAAGGATACTGAGGTAACTAACTATGAAGGAAAAAGAAGAGAGTCAGAGAAGGTAGTGGAAGACTTCAGGTCATTATTGTATCATGACAATAATAACAACTCTGGAGGAGAGGGAATGAAGAGAAACTTGTGTAGGAAAACTATTAAAATGCAGTACAGTGTGAAGATAGTTTAAGCCTGGCTGATGGGGAGTTAATTCAAAGTTGCCCAACTGAAGAATCTGGGTCTCATAAGACTTGAGCTGCATTTGTACTTCTGCTACTCTCAGAAAAATGGTATGAGGCAGCCCATGTTGAGCCTATGGCATCAGTGTTAACATGATGATTATTTCAAAGAGGGAGCAAGCGGAGACTTCAGTCATTTATGCTCCTCACAACAGGTGATCTGTTCTCTATAGAACATACATAGAGTTTGTTGCCAGACTTGATGGTGAGCACCTGTAATCTCAGCTACTCATGAGGCTGAGGCAGAAGGATTGCTTGAGTGCAGCCTGGGCAACACAGTGAAACCCCATATCAAAGAAAGGAAGAAAAGGAAAAGGAAAAGGAAGAATAATTATTTGTTAAGACTTCAGAAAGATCTAATGTGACACTAAAAAGAATCACCATTCAACAAAACTTCTACAAAGGGTCTGTCAGCAGCCTCTGCAGAAGCCCAAGGCAGAGAAGAGCTGATCTGAGTGAGAGTGAATGGGCAAGTGAGTGTGAACATCAGGAGCAAGCAATCCTGAATACTCTACTCATTAGAAGCTAGTGACTAAGTTCAGCCCACCTTCAAAGGGAGGGGACGTAGACTTCAGTTTTGAAGGGTAGAGTTTCAAAGAATTTGTGGACATATTTGAAAAACACTACCAATGGCACTCTGAATACAAATTTTTTATATTCCTAAAACATGCAAAATATGCTCAGCAAGTCTCATCCATTTATAGCATCAATTACTCTCTCTCTAAGATTTTCTCATCTAAATCAAGTCCACAGGATAAGGACAGCATTCTCCTGGCACTCTCACTCTCTAAGCCAGCAGCCAGTGTGAGTGAGCCACCTGGGAAACAGATCCTTCAGCCCCAGTCCAGTCTTCTGCAAACTCATGAAAAGCCCAACCGAGAAGCACTCAGCCAAGCCACTCCTGAATTTCTGACCCACAGAACCTGTAGAGATGTTTATTGCTGTGACATTAAGACTTGGAGTAATTTGTAACACAGTCACTGATAACTAGTATGGTAGGCTTTTGGTCATTCATTTAATTAATACATTTAGTAAAAAAATTTCATGCCATGGATGTTGCAGGCATGAAGAAATTGGATTCTAGGTTGGGTGTGGTGGCTCATGACTGTAATCCCAGCACTTTGGGAGGCTGAGGAGGGAGGATCATTTGAGTCCAGGAGTTCAAGAACTGCCTAGGCAACATAGCAAGACCTTGTCTTCACAAAAAATAAAACAGTTGGGTATGGTGGTGTACACTTGTAGTCTCAGCTACTCTGGAGCTTTGGAGGTTAAGGTGGGAGGATCGTTTGAGCCCAGGAGACTGAGGCTGTAGTGAGCTATTATCTTGCCACTGTACCGCAGTCTGGGTGACAGAGTAAGAACCTATCTCAAATTAAAAAAAAATTACGTATGCTCCCCACAACAGGTGATCTGTTCTCCATAGAACACACATAGAGTATTACTACTAAAAACGCTTTGTTGCTGGACACAATGGTGAGCAACTGTAATCTCAGCTACTCAGGAGGCTGAGGCAGAAGGATTGCTTGAGTGCAACCTGGGCAACACAGTGAAACCTCATATAAAAGAAAGGAAGGAAAGGAAATGGGAAAGGAAGAATAATTTTTTTTAAGACTTTCCAAAATAGATTTCCATTTTTTTCTTAATTTGCCATTGGGTAGTCAAATGTTCCATTAAAACGGGACTGACATTGAATGCTTTCTAGTGTGGCAAGAACTGCATTATGAATTCTCTTATTTGCTAAAGACATGCCTATAAGACTAACATTCAATCATTTCCCACCGGTATGAATGTTGTCTGATGTTGAAAAAGTTTGGGCATATCTAAAGGCATTCTCATAGTACTTAAGTTCTTAGACTTTTACACTCTTATGAATTTTCTGATGGGCTTTAAGGGCTGAGCCATATCTGAAGGTTTTCCCACACTGCTTACATACATAGGGTTTCTCACCAGTATGAATTCTTTCGTGTTGAACAAGGTTTGAAGCACGACTAAAGGCTTTCCCACATTCCTTACATATATAAGGTTTTCCACCAGTATGAATTTTCTGATGTTGTGTGAGGTATCCATACATTTTAAAGGCCTTTCCGCATTCTTTACATTCATAGGGTTTTTTATCAGCATGAATACTCTGATGTGCAGTAAGGTGTGAACTACGTCTAAAGGTCTTTCCACATTCCTTACATTCAAAAGGTTTCTCATCAGTATGAATACTCTGATGTAGAGTAAGATTTCTATAGAAAGTAAAGGTTTTTCTACATACCTTACATTCATAGGGTTTCACACCAGTATGGATTTTCTGATGTTGATTAAGATATCCATGCAAGCTAAAAGTCTTTCCACATTCCTTACATTCATAGGGTTTCTCACCAGTGTGAGTTTTCTGATGTTGAACAAGGTTTGAGCCAGTACTATAGGCCTTCCCACATTCCTGACATTCAAAAAGTTTCTTACCCGTATGAATACTCTGATGTCGAGTAAGATTTCTATACAAAGTAAAGGTTTTTTTACACTCCTTACATTCAAAGCGTTTCATACCAGTATGAATTTTCTGGTGTTGTTTAAGGTACTCATATAAGCTAAAGGCCTTTCCACAATCCTTACATTCATAGGGTTTCTCACCAGTATGAGTTTTCTGGTGTTGAAAAAGTTTTGAACTAGTAGTATAAGCCTTCCCACATTGCCTGCATTCAAAAAGTTTCTCACCAGTATGAATATTCTGATGTCGTGTAAGATTTCTATACAAAGTAAAGGTTTTTTTACACTCTTTACATTCATATGGTTTCCCACTTTTATGAATTCTTTGATGTAGAAGAAGGTATGAGGCAGTAGTATAGCCCTTTCCACATTCTTTACATTCATATGGCTTTTTACCAGTGTGAACACTGTGATGTACAGTAAGCTGATGACTTCTTCTAAAGGCCTTTCCACATTTCTCACATACATATGGTTTCTCATCAGAATGAATTTGCCCATGTTCAACAAGATTTGAACGCCTACTAAAAGCCTTCCCACATTCCTTACATTTATAGGGTTTTTCACCAGTATGGATTCTTTGATGAATTCTAAGGTGTCCACCTTGACTAAAGGCCTTCCCACATTCCTGACATTCATAAGGCTTCCCACCCGTATGAATTCTCTCATGTTGAACAATGTGCGAGGCATAAATAAAGGCCTTTCTACATTCTCTGCATTCATAGGTTTTCTCACCAGTATGGGATCTCTGATGTATAGTTAATTGATAACCGCTTTTAAAGTTCTTCTTACATTCTGTACATTCATAGGGTTTCTCACCAGTATGAAATCTTTGATGTAGAGTAAGTTGATAGCCACTGCGAAAATTCTTCCCACATTCTTTGCATTCATAGGGTCTCTCAATGATATGAAACTTGTGATGGAGAATAAGTTGATAGCCACTGCTAAATTTCTTCTGACATTTCTTACATTCATAGAGTTTCTCTCTCTTATATATGCTCTGATGTGTAGAAGATATATCTGCTTCACAAGAGGGTATTTCTATGTAGCTAATTATCTCACACTGTAAATCCAAATCTGAAACAAAAGAAAACAAAAAGTAGTTGTATTTCTGTACCAGAGAACATGAAGTTTCATGAAAGAAATAAAAAGCAACACTCATAATAAGTGAATGGTATACAGAATTCTAAAACATGGTTATGAAATTTGAAAAAGGCCAAGAAGAGTTCAGAGATATATAAAAGTTTATGTAAGATAGTGAGGTTACTGATTAAGGAAACAGGTAACATTTATATGTGGGCCAGAATCTTTGACAAGCTTGCTACAAATGCGCTCTCCTGGCACTATCAAAGACCAATGAATTAGAATTGAGAGGAGAAAAATTTTGATATCTTTATTTTGAAACTCACCGATTTAGATGCAGATCAGCATTTAAGAATTCATCTTTTAAGTTCCTATAGCAATTTATTTGATTCTTAGAATAAAATACAAGCCCCTTTCCTAGGACTCTTGCTTATCCAGATGGCCCCATGTCAAAACAACCCTTTTGCTTCCTATTCTTCATCACAGTCCCTCTTTTCAGCATCTAGAATATAGTACAGTTGCCCCTCGATATCTGTGGAGGATTGGTTCCTGGAATTCCCACAGATGCCAAATCCGCGGATGCTTGAGTCCTTGATAAAAAATGACACAACATTTGCATATAAGCTACACACACTCTCTTGTGAACTTCAAATAATCTTGAGACTACTCATAATACCCAATACAAATGTAAATGCTATGTGAATAGTTATTTTGCTGTATTGTTTAGCAAATAATGACAGAAAATGTACATGTTCAGTACAGAAGCAATTAAAAAAATATCTTCAATCCAAGGACGGCTGAACCCACCAATGTAGAACTCACAGTACAAAGGGCAGACGGTACAACTTTTCCCATCACTTAGTGTTTTCCACAGACTGTTTAATCTTCCAAGAATCACTGGACCTAGACACTTTGTAGGCTGGCTCCTTCTCATCCATTAGGTTTTAGGATACATGTTCTTTCTTTAGAAAACTAGAACCTGCTATCTCTAAGTATGTCCATGTCTCTTTTTTAATGTGCAGCACTTCATTCCTTTGTTTTAAATTATAATATCATTAGTTTTCATATTTGATATTCTTTTTATTTACATTTCCCTAAAGTTTCCCAGGAGCAGACATAGTCCCTCATTGTTTCATCACTCAATTATTTAATATAAGGTCCTGGCATATCATAGGTGTTAAATAATTTACTGCACTTACTATGGTTGAGTTTTATTATTCCTCACCCATTTTAAATATGCTAAATCTGTGTTGCTTCATATCCTTTCTCATGTCCTCTCTTCTTTCTCTTCTGTCAAGGCCAACCATTCTTGTACTTCCCAGACAAGTATTCTGTTGCTATTTCATCAGACAATTCACAGATATGCACTTAAGCAAAAATCTTAAGAAATTATTTTCATTTGCAGATGCTGGAGAGAATAAGAAACTATAATATGGCAGAAAATCCTGGGACATCAGATCCCTGTAACTGCATAAAAAAAGGAAATATTAGATATAGGCTGGAAGATGTAGTCTAGATGCAGGAAAAGACTAAGGAATATCAGTGCAGAATGAGGGGAGAATGGATCAAAGATAAAGAATATTTTCCTGTGACTGAATTGTGGTATGTATAAAAACATGAAGTAATACAAACATCCTCTGATCTCAAAAAATAACACTGAAAATAACAGCAATATTAAAAAACAAAACGCACTCCATCTAGAAAAATAGGTTCTCTACTAACTAAATGATAGGTCACTAAATACTGTGGAAAACCAGCAGAGACAGGATGGCATTCTATGAAAAAGTTAACCTGGAAGTCAAGACTGATGATATGACACACATACAACAAGAAGGTGTAAAAAGGCTTATTGCTCACATAATATAGGGATCAGGGCAGCTCCCAAGCAGTTCATAAATTAACTTGAGAGGTCAGGAAAAGAGAGTGGCTTAGAGTTTTTATGGTGGTTAGGGTGTGGTACTGAGCTGAGGGTTCCTGCACATGGGACAAGGTTTGCGTAATTTGAACTTCCCATGGCACCAAAGGAGAGAGCACCTAGCCTCTTTATCAGCTGGCCCAGAAGTGGGCAGTGGCAAAAAGGAGTGGGGTGTAAAAGCTGTCAGCAATCAGACATCAAAAATAGAATCAGATGCTTTATGATACAAATGAAATAAACAGTGAAGCTAGAGAAATATAGATAGGCAAGAAGTAAAAAGATTATATTTTAAAGGTATAATAATAAAGCTGAGAGAAAATTTATTACCTCAACACAAATTAAATAAGTAAATGATTTACTTTAAAAAATTAGAAAAAATTACAAAGTAAACTAGAGGAAAGCAGAAAGAAAAAATAAGAGCATAATGTAATGAATTGGGGAAAAGAATAGAATCAACACATAAATAAAAAAGGGAACTTTAAAAAAAAATGTGTGATAATGCATGAGCTAAACCAAACAACTAAAAGGGGGAAGAATAAAAAAAAAATAAGAAATTGTAAAAGTACAAGAAAACGCTGGTGCAGTGGCTCACGCCTGTAATCCCAGCACTTTTGGGAGTGGAGGTGAAAGGACTGCCAGAGTCCAGGGGTTCAAGACCAGCCTGAGCAACTTGGTGAGACTGTGTCTCTACAATAAATCAAAGAAATTAGCCAGGCATGGTGGCGCATGCCTGTGGTTCCAAATACTTGAAAGGCTGAGGTGGAAGGATCACCTGTGCCCATTAGGTTGAGGCTGCAGTGGCCATGAGTGTGCCACTATACTCCAGCCTGGGTGACAAAGTGAGACTCCAATTCAAAAAAATAAGAAATAAAAAGTACAAGAAAACATATTTGTATGCCAATAAATAAAAAAGGCAATAATAATTATCTACTAAAATACCTAATAAAAACGGATCCTACAAGACAGAAAGCTTTAACAGATCAATTCCCATAGCATAATGTTAAAAAAAAAAGCGGGGGGGACACCCCTTATCAACAAGGGTGCCTGAACAATGCATATTGTATACCTAACCCTTAACTGTACCCCACAATTTTAAAATAAAAAATGTTTAATAAAAAAAAGCTAGTAGGAATAAGCACCTTGACCATTTACATTGTTGTTTCTGCATATTCCCCACTAATACAGAAATCCTTACCTCTAAACATTACCATTAAAATCAGGATAATATCCTACTATTCTTGTATAATATCCTTAATAATCATGAACATCCTTGTCTTTAAATACTCCCCACTAATAGCAAAAAAAGTCCTCAAAGAAACATTTCATTCCTAGAATGGGGAAAGGAAGATACAAGAAAAATTAGAAATCTTGAACCAAAAATGTAAAGAAAATTAAAAGATTTATGACTTTGTTAAAAAAAACACTTGTGGCTGGACATGGTGGGTTATGCCTATAACCCTAGCACTTTGGAAGGTTGCGGGGGAGGATTACTCAGGCCCAGGAACTTAAGACTGTAGTGAGTTCATGATCATGCCACTGCAATCCAGCCTGGGTAGCAGAGCAAGACTCTCTTTAAAAAAAAATGTGTAAGCCGGGCTCGGTGGCTCCAGCCTGTAATCCCGTGCTTTGGGAGGCTGAGGTGAGTGGATTGCCTGAGCCCGTGGGTTCGAGACCTGCCTGGGCAAGTTGGCGAGACCTCATCTCTACAATAAATCAAAAAATCAGCCGGGCGTGGTAGCGCATGCCTGTAATTCTGGCTACTCGGAAGGCTGAGGCGGAAGGATTGCCAGAGCCCAGCAGGTCGAGGCTGCGGTGGCAGGAAGCGGCCACTGCCCTCCAGTCTGGGCGACAGGGTGAGACTCCAACTCAAAAAAAAAAAAGTGTATATATATGTATAACATGTATATATGTGTATGTGTGTGTGTGTGATAGTACTGAGTTTTGTATAGCTTATACTGTGATGAGAGCAGAAATATTGACTATGTTGAATATATTAAGTAAATGAAAAATGAAGAAATCCATAATTATTCTTTAGAGAACAGAAACCATTTTTAGTAATTTTTATCATTAAATAATACATTACTAATATATATGTATTTGTGTGTGTGTGTGTGTATATATATATATACACACACACATTATATATATAAAATTAGCAGAATGTCATATATATTTTATTGCCCTTTCCAATGGAATTCTATTTCAAGGTAACTGAATAGCTGTAGTTGATCACGTCAACAAAAAGCTGTACAAACAATAATAATTTTTTTTTTGAGTTTGAGGCTCACTCTGTCACCCAGGTTAGTGTGCAGTGGCACGTTCACAGTCACCCCAGCATTCCCCTGCTGGGCTCAGGCGATCCTTCTGCCTCAGCCTTCCAAGTAGCCGGAACTACTTGGTAGCGTGTGCTACCACACCTGGCTAATTTTTTGATTTATTGTAGAGATGAGGTCTCGCCAAGTTACCCAGGCTATTCTTGAACCTGTAGGCTCAGGCAATCCCCTCACTTCAGCCTCCTGAAGTGCTGGGATTACAGGCTTGAGACACCACGCCCAACCAATAATAGAAATTTTTAAAAAGCACCTTGCAATTTCCAATCTTATTAAGATAAGTATAAACACTGTTGTTAATATTGTGAGAATGGCTACAAAACTAAATGTGGCTTTTATGAAAAAGACTTTTTCAGTTACAACAGGAAAAATATAATTTAATAATGTAGAAATCGGATTTTTATCCTAATTCAGTGGTAATGTCTCAACATTAACGGTATAATCCAATATATAATATGCATCTTTTGAGAGAGTACACATAACCACCCCGGGCTCAGGCAATTTTCTCACCTCAGCCTCCAAAAGTGCTGGGATTACAGGCTTGAGTCACTGCACCTGGCCACCTGTCTCTGTTTCTAATGAACTATAATGCACAGAGGATTTTGTATTTATCTATTAACATGGCATGAAATTAAAAAAAACAAATTATCAATAAAATTCAAAGTATGAGTACAGCATTTCATCAGTAAGGATCTAGAACTTCATAGATATAATTCAAATACTACAGAATTCAGTTACTTTCTAGTCATACCCAAATTATTTATAAAATTGACCATGTGTTGGGCTGTACAGCAAGTTTCAATGTATTTCAAAGAATCAGAATCATATACATAT